AACCCACAAATCTCTGATGATCAAGTAAAACCTGACCATCAGTTTCCTTCATCTGGTCAAGCTTCCTCTTCATGTTTGTAGCATAGTCATGTGCGAGCCGGTGCAACTGTTTATTCTCATGCTTGAGCCCTCTAATCTCCTGTTTGAGACTCATCACTTCAGCCGCCAATGATTCAACTTGGCGGGTTCGAGCAAATAGGCGTTGGGCCATATTAGACACAGAACCTGCACACTGAACACTGAGAGCCAGCGAATCCTTAACAGCTAACTCATCAGACCGTTTGGAAAGTAGTCTGTTATCTTTGGGAGTGAGAAGGTTCCTGGCCACCACCGCAGCGGTCATATCATTCTTCATCACGGAATCCCCAACGGTAAGAGGACCAGTAGGGGAGACGAAGGATGGGCGCCATATGTTGTCTGGAGAAGGCGGGGCTGCCTCTTCAACAAGGTTCAAGTCAAAACGACGGTCGGAGGGGCCAGACATTTTCAAAGGTGTTGAAGAGAGAAGAGGTCGGACAAATCAAGATCTTAGAAGTGCAAGAATGAAGCTTCTACTGGTGGAGATTCAAGTGTGCTTTGGAACTTAATGCCAGCCCCTATAAAAAAATTTGCACTCGACGAAGCTTCAGAAATCGAAGAGGCGCCTGCTCAGAAATCGAAGAGGCGTTTGCTTTCTCAAAAGCTGGGCTGCTTAGAGATCACGAGGGTTGATCTCAGAAATCGAAGGGGCGTTTGCTTTCTCAAAAGTTGGGGCTGCTCAAAGACCACGAAGGCCGATCTCAAAAATCGAAGAGGCGCTCGCTTTCTCAAAAGCTGGGCTCCCCAGAGACCACGAGGGCCGATATCAGAAATCGAAGAGGCACCTACTTTTCCAGCCTTTTCCAGCCTTGTCAGCACCTGTCACACGCACACTCAGTTTTGCGGAAATTATGGGCATTCTGTCAAAGACTTCTGGGGAAGTAGAAAACACATGAATCTTACTGTTCAATCACCCACTTCCCACACGCAAAAATAGCTCATGGGTACCACAGATAACTTTGCCAAAGTTCTCTGCCAAAGTTGAGCACGTGAAGCTTGCAGCTCCCACTACATCGCTCTGACCAAGAAGGGTAAAAGAATAGCAAAGAAACAGCACTAACAAAGTTTAGACCCATAAATTTTGAAGGTCTAGCTACCATATTATTACCCACAAGGGTAAAGGAACAGTACCACTGCTGGATAATTGGAAAGTCCCTGTGTGTCAACCTCTGTGCTTCGTGGCAAGGTAGACTAGCAAACATGCCCAACCTTTACTCACATTCGAGAAAACACTCCCAATAAGATTGCTTGCTCCAAAAATCGAAGAGGCACCGTCCTCCGAATCTCGAGAGCCAGACTCCCAACATGACTACTTTCTTAAAAATCGAAGAGAGGGTAAAGGAACAGTACCATTGCTGGATAATTGGAAAGTTCCTGTGTGTCAACCTCTGTGCTTCGTGGCAAGGTAGACTAGCAAACATGCCCAACCTTTACTCACATTCGAGAAAACACTCCCAACAAGATTGCTTGCTCCAAAATCGAAGAGGCACCGCCCTCCGAATCTCGAGAGCCAGACTCCCAACATGATTACTTTCTCAAAAATCGAAGAGACACTGCTCCCCGAATCTCGAGAGCCAGACCCCCAGCATGATTGCTTTCTCAAAAAAATCGATGAGGCATCGTTCTCTGAATCAATCGAAGAGGCGCTCGCTTTCTCAAAAGCTGGGCTGCTCAGAGACCACGAGGGCCGATCTCAGAAATCGAAGAGGCACCTACTTTTCTAGCCTTGTCAACACCTGTCACACGCACACTCAGCTTTGCAGAAATTATGGGCATTCTGTCGAAGACTTCTGGTGAAGTAGAAAGCACATGAATCTTACTGTTCAATCACCCACTTCCCACACGCAACAATAGCTCATGGGTACCACAAATAACTTTGCCAAAGTTCTCTGCCAAAGTTGAGCACGTGAAGCTTGCAGCTCCCACTACATCGCTCTGACCAAGAAAGGGTAAAAGAATAGCAAAGAAACAGCACTAACAAAAGTTTAGACACATAAATTTTGAAGGTCTAGCTACCATATTATTACCCACAACTGTAAAGGAACAGTACCACTGCTGGATAATTGGAAAGTCCCTGTGTGTCAACCTCTGTGCTTCGTGGCAAGGTAGACTAGCAAACATGCCCAACCTTTACTCACATTCGAGAAAACACTCCCAATAAAGATTGCTTGCTCCAAAATCGAAGAGGCACCGTCCTCCGAATCTCGAGAGCCAGACTCCCAACATGACTACTTTCTCAAAATCGAAAGAGAGGGTAAAGGAACAGTACCATTGCTGGATAATTGGAAAGTCCCTGTGTGTCAACCTTTGTGCTTCGTGGCAAGGTAGACTAGCAAACATGCCCAACCTATACTCACATTCGAGACAACACTCCCAACAAGATTGCTTACTCCAAAATCGAAGAGGCACCACCCTCCGAATCTCGAGAGCCAGACTCCCAACATGATTACTTCCTCAAAAATCGAAGAGAGACACTGCTCTCCGAATCTCGAGAGTCATACCCCCAGCATGATTGCTTTCTCAAAAATCGAAGAGGCATCGTTCTCCGAATCTCGAGAGCCAGATACCACAGACCACTTTTTCAAAGTGCTCTGACAGAGTTAAAACATGTGAAACTGGCAGCTCCCACTACCGTGCTATGACCAAGCAGGGTAAAGGAATAGCATTACTACTTGTTGTTAGGGAGACTCCTATATATGTCGACCTCCATCCCCAACGGACAGGCAGACCTGCAAAAATGCTCAACCCTTCATCATATTTGAGAGGGCACTCCCAACGAAGCCTTTCGAAATATTCAGCTTTCTTTCCCCCCTATAATACCTCTGCAAACAAGCTATACTAGAGCAAGAATATCTCATATCATCAGGGTTAAAAGCAAGAGTATCCCATATCATGCTTTTTTCCTGTCTTTTCTTTTTGGCCTTGTTTTTACCTGCAAGACAAGGAGAAAGAGAGCAATCAGTCAGCACTTGGAATCAAGCTTCCAGCCAGGAACTGACTGCCTGGAACCCCCTTACCTGATTACTTACCTGGCATTGCTCTCGAGTACTCATCTTCAACATCTTATGTTTCCAGGGAAGATTCCGCATCTGCTTGAGGAACAGATAGGGCAAGTGCGAAGGATACAAGGAAGCATGTGGAGACAAGCGTAACAGCACACGTGCCGATACATTCATTACTCTGTCAAAAGCAAAAGTATCCCATATCAGCAGGGTGGAACGTACTCTAGATTTGATGGACTTGTTTTGACCCTCAAATTCTTCAGTCGGCCTTATACTCTGGAGGAAACCAGAAAACCCTCCAGCTCAGTTCAAGAATAAGCCTGTGGAAAGTTACTTCTTCAAAAGCAAAAGTATCTCATATCATCTCTTCTCATTTTTCTTCTCTTTATCCTTCATGCTGCTGCAAGATGGGGAGAAGGTGTGAACAATCAGTCGGAGCTCTGATTGCTTACCTTGTCTGTCACCTCTTTCAGCAGACCCCCTAGCTCGGCGACTTGGGGGACTCCTACTACATGGTTTGTATCGCGCTTGACCAAGCCTGAAACTACAAGTAAGCTTCAAGTGAAATTGATACATTACCTTGTGCATCTCCACCAGTTAAAGATACCACCCCTGGATGGAGGAAGAGTACTTCCAGAGAAGATGCCACATCTACCTATGAGACAGATAAGGCAAGTCAAGACGACACCACACTCCGATACTTAGAAGTTTCGTGATTACGAGATCATTCTCCCACAATATTTCCTAATGTCATTTGTACTAAATCATTCACTTGTACTCACTAAATGAGAGCTTGAACCTATGTACTTGTGTAAACCCTTCACAATTAATGAGAACTCTTCTATTCCGTGGACGTAGCCAATCTGGGTGAACCACGTACATCTTGTGTTTGATTTCCTATCTCTATCCATTTATATACTTATCCACACTAATGACCGGAGCAATCTAGCGAAGATCACAAAAAGCGATCGTTTTCGCTACCTAGGATCTATCTTGCAAGAGAACGGAGAATTAGATGAAGATCTCAACCATAGAATACGAGCTGGATGGAAAGAGTGCATCCGGCGTGTTGTGTGACCGTCGTAGGCCACTGAAGCTCAAGGGAAAATTTTATAGGACGGCAATAAGGCTAGCGATGTTGTATGGCACAGAATGTTGGGTGGTGAAGCATCAACACGTACACAAAATGGGTGTAGCGGAGATGAGGATGCTTCGTGGGATGTGTGGGCACACGAGAAAGGATAAGATTGGGAATGAGGATATCCGAGGTAAAGTAGGAGTAGCCGAAATTGTAGGAAAGATGAGAGAAAATCGGCTCCGGTGATTTTGAACATGTGCAAAGAAGGCCGACTGACGCTCCGGTTCGAAGATGTGACTACGGGACAGAGGTTCAGGGCCGAAGGGGTAGAGGAAGACCTAGGACAACTTTGGAAGAGACTCTAAGAAAAGACTTAGAGTACTTGGATCTAACGGAGGACATGACACAAAACCGAGCGCAATGGCGTTCTAGGATTCATATAGCCGACCCCACTTAGTGGGAAAAGGCTTTGTTGTTGTTGTTGTTGTTGCTTATAACTGTGATCTTATGTACTGTTGTGTTTTTTATTTTCCCTTATTTCTAACAATTTCCTCTTGTGTTAATGTGACTTGTTCAAAATTTGACTTCAGATGGACTGGCGAGAAGGGAACAGGTCTGATATTCTAGAATGCCGGAGAATTTTCACAACACAAATTTCGTAATAGTAAGAGTTGTTCCTTCAATCTTGTACGGCCTTCAGTGAAATCAGCAGGAAAGTGCAAAGAACTATATATCCGAGCCCGACCTTCAATGTTTCTTCTTTGACTTTGATCTTTCTACACAACGCGTAAAAGAATTTATTATTAGTCGGACTCCTCCTTATAAAGCACGGATGGGGAACTCGGATTTTTTCCGTCACGTTCAAGGGCAGAGAGAGAGAGAGAGAGAGATGAAAATGGTGGTACAAATTTTTCAGATGGTTTTGTTGTTGTGGCAAATGAGTAGTGCATTGGCACAATCACAGTCTTTAGCATTGCCTGTAGCATTGCCTGATTGCCAAGCACAGTGTGGGAGTGTTACGATTCCATACCCTTTTGGAATTGGACCCAACTGCTACCTTGATGAATGGTTTTCGATATCCTGCAATGATACTTATAATCCTTCCAAGCCTTTCTTAAATAGCACCAAACTCGAAGTTCTGAATGTATCGATGGAACTAGGCACAGTTCGTGTCAACTATCCTGCAAAGTCAACGTGTGGTGATATGAGCAGTGCCTATGTGATGAGCTTGGAAGGAGGCCCTTTTGTTTTCTCCCAATCCAAAAATAGATTCACTGCTGTCGGATGCAACAACTTGGCTCTGATGACAATGGTCAACGGTTCGACCATTGGCGGGTGCTTATCTTTCTGCCGAAGTGGTTTAACTGCAAGTAGTAGTACCTGCAATGGGATTGACTGCTGCCAGACAACAATCCCTTCGGATCTTCAGGTGTTCAATACAACTATAGAGAGCGTGGAAACCGGGGAACCCACAGAGGGATGCAAGTATGCATTCTTAGTAGACCGACAATGGTTTGAGAACGAAGGACTAAGAAAAGCCTCAGACATACAAAACATGGACTCCCTTCCTGTGGTGCTGGAGTGGAGGATAGATAGACGGACATATGACTCGCTTGCAACGAATAAATCAATAGCTTTCAACAATTCAACTGTGTGTGAAAGTGGAAGTTTCGTCAATTCCACCTCTTTTAGTAACAAGAACTCCATGGTTCGATGTTCTTGCAAAAGGGGATACGAAGGAAATCCGTATCTTCCTGATGGATGCCAAGGTAAACCTCGCACAAATTCACAATCTTTTTCATTATTTTGTCTTTATTTTGAACTACAAATGCTTTGGCATTTCAACCAATGGCCTCAAATACAAGGCAAATATTTTCACTATATATTTCTAATTCATCTTTTATAATGTTCATTCTTCTGCCATCTGGTTAATCAGTCTTTTTGCACTTAATTCGTATCAGATATCGATGAATGTGTGGATCCACAGAGCCCTTGTTTGCTAGAAAATCTTGGATATACTTTTATCTGTAATAATACTATTGGGAGTTATGAATGTTACTTTTTCGGTCCTCCTGAAAAGAAGAAATCTGCAGTGAAACCAGTGGTTATAGGTACGCCTCTGTCCCCTCAGTTGGCCTGGAACAACTTTCAGTGGATTCAAATGCGAAAAAAATTGAACAGTTCGCTGAATTTTCCAGAGAGATTAGCCAAAGATTTGGGTACTTTTTTTTATAAAATGTATTGATTTGTGCAGGTATTGGTGCAAGCTTGGGGCTATTACTTCTTCTTGCTACTGCGTGGTGGTTACAAGGTGGTGAAGAAAAGAAATGACACTAAACGCCGAGAGAAGTTCTTCAAACAAAACGGTGGCTTTTTTATCAAAGAACAATTGAGCTCCGGTGAAGTCAATGTTGAGAAAATAAAAATATTTGATCCAAAGGAGCTAGAGAAGGCCACAGATCATTTTAATGTGAACAGAATACTTGGTCAGGGAGGCCAAGGTACCGTTTACAAAGGAATGTTGACAGATGGAAGACTTGTTGCAGTGAAAAAGTCGAAGGTGATTGATGAAGGGAAACTCAGGCCTTTCATTAACGAGATTGTCATTCTTTCACAACTTAACCACAGGAATGTGGTTAAGCTATTCGGGTGTTGTTTGGAGACAAATGTTCCTCTACTGGTGTATGAATATGTTCCCAATGGTACCCTTTTCGAGTATATCCACGAAGATAATGAAGAGTTTCCTCTTCTGTGGGATATGCGCTTGAGAATTGCCATTGAGGTCGCCGGAGCTCTTTTCTACCTGCACTCATCAGCTTCCATTCCCATTTATCATCGTGATATTAAATCCACAAACATACTTTTAGATGACAAGTACAGAGCAAAAGTAGCTGATTTTGGAACTTCAAGATCAATTTCCATTGATCAAACTCATGTAACAACACTAGTACAAGGCACTTTTGGATACTTGGATCCGGAGTACTTCCAGTCAAGCCAATTCACTGAAAAGAGCGATGTTTATAGCTTCGGAGTAGTCCTCATTGAGCTCTTGACGAGTCAAAAACCAATTTCATTCACAAGATCGGAAGAAGGCAGAAGTCTAGCCACATACTTCATTCTTAAAATGGAAGAGAAACGTCTATTTGATATCGTTGATGTTCGGATTACGGAGGGAAGTAAAGAACAGATTGAGGCAGTTGCTTGCCTTGCAAGAAGATGCTTGGACTTGAATGGAAAGAGACGTCCCACGATGAAAGAAGTTGCAATGGAGCTGGAAGGGATTAAAAAATCAGTTAAAGGTTCTAATGTGCAGCAAAATCATGAAGAAGTTGAATATGTTCCAAATGAAGTGACTGATCCTTGGGATGTTGTTTCTACATCATCAAGTTCAGTTGTGGACAGTAGTACTGCTTCATCAACTGATCGGCTTCTGCTATCGTCGTCCAAATTACGATGACCATGGACCGGTCTTAGGCTGCGTTTGGTACAGCTTTTGGGCACAGATTCTGAATTGCATCCAAAGCTTCTGTTTCCCAAAAGTGTCTACTTCGGCCTAAAGCTAAAGGACCACCGATCTGTTTTGAGCAAACTGGTCCAACCTAGCTTTCAGCATATTTGAAAAGGGAGATGACTTTCACACACATTTTTTAGCGACTCACACACCTCTGTTTAATCATCGTATGTATTAATTATGTTTCTTTCTGCATGTTTTTAATTTTTTTCTTGTATTTTTTAAACTCTAAGATGATTAATTTGTACTTGTTTTTAACTTTTTCTGTATTTCTCTGTGGCTGTTCTGTATATTTTGTACCTGTTTTTGTTGAGCAAATTCTTTGATTGATCAGAATGATACCCTCTGATAAATTAGCTTATCTTATAAGTTTATATATGTCCCTTAAGCATATGTTTTTCATTGTTTTTTCAGCAGAGTAGTTACAAATGGAATAGAAGGAAACATAGAGATCCTTCCAAAAACTAGTTGGATTTGTAAGACCCATTCAATTTAGTAATGGTTCCTGAGACTCTATATTAATTTTTATTATATTCAAGGAGATTTTCTACAATAATCCCTACAGTTATAATAAAAACATGTGACTGTGTGATTATCGCACTTAAAATTTTCTTCTAAATAGTCATGTGTAAATAGATTATTTTTAAAAAATTTTAACTTTGTTAAATTGTGACGAGCGTTTAGTTTGAGATACTATTAACTAGGCTTAATAAACGGATCGTGTCGTGTCACACTTATTATCTTAATGAATTTTTAACAAATCGTGTCATTTTACCTGTTAAAATTAACAGGTAAATTGACTCGACCTGTTTTGGTTGGTGGTTGGTAAGAGGATCTAGTACACATACACTTCAATAACAAAACTATTTTTGGTTGGTGGTTGTGTAAGAGGGCTACTAAACTAATTCCCCAAAATAGAAATTTAAATTTAGAAAAAACAAACTGAAGAAAGAAAAAAAGACCTGAAATGTGCCCTACTACCGTAATGGCACTTGTCCTTTCGAAGAAAACCTAACGACACTCACTGATATCATCTGATGTCAGTGATATAATGGAATGTCGACAAAAAAAATAGGTGGTTTAGTTGCAGCTAAACTTCTCTTGCCAAGATAACACGTACAGACTGGTGGGTGCCTAACATTTTGAATGGTAGGTAACTATACCCCTTTTCTTTTCTTTTTTTCTTTTTTTTTTTTTTTTTTTAAGAAAACTTTAATGAAAAACTTCATTTACTATTTACTTTAACAAAACACATTTTTACATTAAAAAGTCAATCATGATACTATTTACTTTACCTTTTATTCTGTCCTTATAGTTAAAACTCAAAGTTTTCAAACCATTTTTATTAGTTTTCGTTTTTTTTTTTTAATCAGAAAGTCAATTTTCATTAAGACAAAAACTAGTACAAAGCCCAAAAAGGACTAGGTAAACAACTACATAAAAAGTAAAAGATCCAAGTAAAATGAGAGCAACAACTCAAGATATAACGGAAGACCCATATAAGCTTAGGCCCCATATAAGCTTAGGCCGAAGGCAATAGAAAACAAAAAGTAAAAAATTCTAATCTCCACAGCAAAAATCACATCGTCACCACCATCACATCCTCGGATGAAGCCAAACTCCAAATCGAGAAGGTAGACACCAAATCCAAATCCACTTCACGAACTCCTACAAATATATACAAACAAAGTATCATACGGTAGATGGTGAGACTAAGGGTATGTAAAATACCCAACACTTGACCTCAATTGGGATCCTGCATAGGTATGCCGGTTGGGGGATGGGAAGTGAAGGAGGGTAGTAGATTTGGAATCCATTTTCTGATCGGAGCCCGCGTATCCGAGTACATGGTGGGATGGGAATGTAGTATCACAGCTAAGGAGAAGGGAGGACAGAAAGTTAAAAGACAGTTTCTCCTCTTTACCTTCTTATTTTTCCTACATAATGTAACAATGTATAAATATATTCACCCTACTCCTTCCAGTTTCAGGTGAAATACTTAGGGTGCGTCTGTTGTACCAGACTATTTCGAACTGGACTAGCTTTAGAGACTAAGCTAGACTGACTTGGCTTGGACTAAGCAGGATAAAAACAGTGAAGTGTTTGGTGCAGTACCAAACTAAATCATGGACTAAATTATTATTGGAATTCAAATATTATTTTTTTGTCAATTTTTAATTTATCTTGTTGGTATTTTATTATTATTATTCTATGCTTTTTTATTTGGCTCACTCTCTCCCGTCTCTCTACCCTTCTTTTCTTTTCATCCCTGTCTTCTTTGCACTAGCCCAAAACTTTTCTTCTTCTTTTCATTTCATTTCCTATCAACAATTTAGGAAATTGTGAATATGTACTTCAACCCATAATCCAAATATTGTACCCAATTTATCCAATATCAATTACAATGAAGAATTCAAATCAAACCCAGAAAAAATCCAAATTGTTTTTTTTTATTTTTTCCATTTGCAGAGACTTCGTTTGATTATGTAGATGATTCGTCAGAATTTTCAGATGCTTCGTCGGATTGCCGGTTGTACAGAGGCCTCCGCTGAAATTGTGCACAGGACGCTGTTATTAGGATTGTTGTTATTGTTTTGAGATTTAGGCGTTGCATCTGGCATGGTTAGGTGTTGCATCTGGGCATGGTTGGTGGAAGAGGTCAAGGAGGACGGAGCCCAAAGTCCTTTCCGTCAAAAATTGAGGTCTAGGAGGAAGGAGCCCAATCGGAGGGCGCGACCGATGAGCTTGGTCTGGGAGGAGGTGAATGGGACGACGGAGCTCGTAAGTTCTTCGATTGAAATTCGAATCGAGGTCTTTGTTCATTATTTAGGGTTGGGGACGATGAGAGGTAGAGAACGCGAGCAGAGAGGAGAGTAGAGGACGCGAGCAGAGAACGATCGAAAGGATTAGCTAGTCCCATGATTCGCGACGTCTCTGGCTAAGATCGACTAGCATGGTCCTTAGTCGAGGCGAGTCCGACTTACTCCCACTAAATTTAGTCACGTGAAGTAACAAACATGAGACTGGACTAATTATTAGTCCAGTCCAATCCAATGAGGATTAGTGAAGGGAAACAAACACACCCTTAGATTCTCTCTTACCCTACACCTTTCAGATAAATATATTCTTTTAAACTTAATATTCTCTAACTATTGGATGTTAATGTATAATAAAACTTATTGCACATGGCATATTGAGCGAGTGGTAAGATGAAGTAGAACCTCATGATTATGGAGGCAGATTGTCTGCCCCCTGTTACCATGTCCTTCCCATCCCTTTTTATTTGTGAGGTCACGGTTAAGCTACGTTAATATTTTATATTGATTTTTTAATAAAGATAATAGGACAAAAAGCAATATAAATATAAAATGTTGATGTGGCTTAACCGTGACCGCACAAATAAAAAAGGATGAGAAGGGCACGGTAACAGAAGGGCAGACAATCTGATGATTAGAGCTTCTGACATGGGCAACCAGTCAGCTGGGCCAAATAGTATGACTAGCGCTCTCTACCTAGGTTATACCGCTAGCTCGACTTCGCCTGGAGAGTTCAAATTCTCACACATTTTCTAAGGTGTAGTTATGTCTGTTCGCATCCAAGCATGGTTATTTCGTATATAATATCAAAATAACTTCGTAAACATGTTCTAGAAGTTGGACTGTCAATTCAAATTGAATAGACATATTCAGTAAATAGATTGGATTCCGATCGAATCAGATTGAATTATCAGATTCTTATGGTATTCAAATAGGAGTTAGATTTCCTGACCTCCCACTTCCCATGTCCTACCGTATCTTCCTGTTTTGTGTGGTCACGGTTAAGTTACGTAAACATTTTATATTACTATTCATTTTTGTCTTATTATCTATAAAAAAAATATAAAATATTAACGTAGCTTAATCATAACCACACAAAACAGGAGAGCACGAAAGGGCACATGAAGTGAGAGGGCAGAGAATCTGCCTCAATTCAAATCATCGATACAATCGTAGAAAGAAATATGTTAAATTTTAAAAACAAAATCATAGGAAATTGGCACCACTTTAAGATTTAAAGGATAACTTTGAAAAATAACAAGAGGCGTCATCAACTGAAATGTGCCTTACTAACCTAATGACACGGGTCCTTTGAAGGAAAACCCAATGACAATGGTAGAGAATGACTCATATGGCGCAGGTGCAATTTATATGGCATGAGTTTGTCATCACAATATCTTCTTGTGCTAATAAAATAAAAACATGTGAAAGTGTTTGTTCATATATCTTTATTTCATTAGCACATAACGTCACGTGATAATGAACTCGTGTCTTGTAAGTTATTTTCGATACCAAGTATCTGACCAGTCACTAACAATTTTAGTTTATCTTTATATATAAAGCCAGTAGACCCCATTTGGGGTCACAACATCACCAAAACAATTTGGACAAAAATGCCCCCAAAACAAAAAAAAATTCAAACGCAGCCCAAAATAATGCAGGCGTAATTTTGTAATTTTGTCATCATAAAATATAATATAAATATAAGTGGGATGAGATAAACGAATAAAAAAAATGAAAGAATGAGTGAAAGTTGATGGTGCTTACGTGAAAGGGAAGGGAAAATATAATAAAAAATAAGAAAAATCATGAAGGTTGTGTTCAAAACATCTTAAGATGTGCGTAGCGCCGGTGATAAAAAATGAAATAAAAAATATTGAAGCAATTCACGCATATGAATACATTTAAAATATATAAGTCGCGCGTAGCTCGCTGTGATTCAAAAAATGTATTTTGCACGCGGTTGTTTATTAAATATTATTTCTCTATTTTCAAACACTTAAGAGGCGTATAGTACTAGTTATAAAAATAAAATAAAATAAATCCTCGCACGCGCATAATAATGTGATTCAATTAGTTGTCAAATGATCATTTTTTTTAATAAACAATGTTATCTACACTAAGGGGGAGGAAGTGGACTTACCCTCACAATGAGTTAGTAATAATGTGATTCAATCAGTTGTTTATTAAATATTATTTTTTTCTAATCTCAATTTAAATTCAATAGAACGTAGATGGAAATTGAAAGACTGCTTTTATTAATATGGATTCAGCTGCTTTGATTGGTTTATGAGGGGTTTCTTCTAGCATGGTCTACTATTATTCATTTAGTTCAAATATTTGACTTTTTTTTTCATAAAAAATAATAATTATGGAAGCAATTCACGCATATAAATACATTTAAAATATGTAAATAGATCGTAACACGCTGTAATTCAAAAAATGTTTTCTGCACGTGTAAGTGTGTGCACGAAGGCTAATATATATATAATTGAACACTGCCTTTGAATGTCGATATTTGACTTTATGTCAATTCCAAGAATATATATATGTAGACTTAGGTAGTTGCAGCTAAACTTCTCTTGTACACCTAATATTTTGAATGGTAGTTAGAACATAGTTTCTCCTCTTTCCCTTCTTATTTTTTCCACACAATGTAACAGCGTATAAATACATCATGCACACTCCTTCCACGTAAAACACATACACACTATCTCACACAGTTTCACAACCATCAAATTTTGGTGGCTCAGCCGCTGAGATAACCATGGGGACGGCAGAAGAGTACCAACCGCTACTTAACGGACTCGACTCACATTCCCGGATTCCTGACCTTTCGTCCACTGCCGTTGAAGAGTTCCTGGAGCACAAGCCCGTTGCAGTTCGGTGGTGGCTTAGGCTGGTGGCATGGGAGTCAAGGCTCTTATGGACTTTATCCGGCTCATCTATCATCGTCTCCATATTCAACTACATGCTCAGCTTTACCACCCTCATGTTTTGTGGGCATTTGAGTGCCTTGGAGCTTGCTGGTGCCTCTATTGCCAGTGTGGGAATTCAGGGTCTTGCTTATGGTATTATGGTACGTACCCAGACTACTAATGTACTCTGATAATTAACGACAACGGTCATTAGCACTCAACATAATCATTCTGCAGTCGTGCCAAATTCATTCAATGTCTATTATAAAGTGCAAATAGCAGTTTTCATTTAGTGTTTTTTTTCGCTACTTCAGACTTAAGTTAGCATCTAGCGCTCACATTATGCATGAAAAAAAAACACAAAATGTTCAGTTTGGAGTATCTAAATCTAAACCGAGAGTGCCAAACTTGTTACGATAAAAAGGCCATGTAGCCCAATTTTCTCTCCATATTTTTCTTGTATGGTTGGACTAACGCTTTTGTGTTCTTAATTCTTGTTTTGGAATCAAAGTTGGGAATGGCAAGTGCTGTGCAAACAGTGTGTGGGCAAGCATATGGAGCCAGACAGTATCCAGCAATGGGAATCATATGCCAACGAGCAATCGTCCTGCACTTGGGAGCAGCAGTCCTCCTAACATTTTTGTACTGGTGGTCAGGTCCAATCCTCATAGCCATTGGCCAAACAGAGGAAATAGCCGAGCAGGGACAAGTATTTGCCAGAGGAATAGTCCCACAGCTCTATGCATTTGCCATAAACTGCCCTCAGCAGAGGTTTCTCCAAGCACAAAACATTGTCAACCCTCTGGCTTTTATGTCGTTCGGGGTTTTCCTCGTCCACATTCTGCTCAGTTGGGTGGTGGTTTATGTGGCGGATTATGGGCTGACGGGGGCGGCTCTCACTCTGAGTTTCTCATGGTGGCTTCTTGTCATCGTATATGGGATTTACATTGTTGTCAGCCCCAAGTGTAAGGAGACTTGGACTGGCTTCTCTGGGAAGGCCTTTTGGGGCATTTGGCCTTACTTTAAGTTGACTGTTGCATCCGCTATCATGCTCTGGTAAGTGTAAGATTTTTAGGAAATACGCGCAGATACAACCGGTTGCAAAGTTTTAGTCACAATAGAACAGAGAACGACGATTCATTGTCTTTTTAGCATCCCCAAATTCTTCTTTTGATTAAAAATTTGTTACCGGTTTTATTTGTACGTATTACTCTTTTCCCCTTTTTTTTACTTTACGTCCCACTTATAAAACTTATTTTTACTTACAAATAACCGTTGGGTTTTGTCATGCATTGATGTAGTTTGGAGATTTGGTACAGCCAAGGGCTGGTGCTGATATCAGGGCTTCTCGCCAATCCTACCATCGCACTGGACTCCATTTCTATTTGGTAAGCCTTTTGCTAAAGCAATTTATTTCAGAATTATATTTTATGCTCCGAGAGTCCGAAGCACCATAATTTTTTTTTTTTTTATCTATTTCATCTTTTATTGGTCAATTTTGATCAGGTTTTTTAACAGACATTTTAATCTAATTTTACATTTTTTTATGTGATGCAATTCCAGCATGAACTACTTGAACTGGGACATGCAATTTATGTTAGGGCTAGCCGCGGCAGCCAGTGTTCGAGTCAGTAACGAGCTCGGTGCCGGCAACGGGAAGGTGGCCAAGTTTTCGGTGTTTGTAGTGAACGGGACGAGCATACTGATTAGCATAATCTTCACCGCGATTATATTGATATTCCGAGTCGCACTAAGCAAGCTTTTTACGAGCGACGACGAGGTTGTCACGGCGGTATCGAATTTAACCCCACTGCTGGCCATCTCTGTTTTCTTGAATGGCATTCAACCTATACTCTCAGGTATTCATACATGATATATAGATGCAGTAGATGAACAACCTATAAGCAAAGTATTTAGCCGTCGTTTATAATTTAGCTTGTGTGGAATTTCAGGGGTGGCGATCGGAAGTGGATGGCAAGCTGTTGTGGCGTATGTTAACCTGACATGTTACTACATTATCGGTCTTCCAATCGGATGTGTTCTGGGCTTCAAAACCAGCATGGGAGTAGCAGTAAGTTGAATATCTTCTCACTCTTGCTAGCAAAAGTGATTGATTTGCTTTGTGAGTGATGCCAAATGATGAATTTTTGGTATTTTTCAGGGTATTTGGTGGGGTTTGATCATTGGAGTTTTTCTACAAACAGTAACTCTAATTGTTCTCACTGCAAGAACAAACTGGACTGCTGAGGTAATTTAAATTTCGAAATCTAATCTTAAATTGCAAATACGAAGTGCATTTGACTAAGTTCTCACCAATGGCCATGCTTTTGTAGGTTGAAAAAACGGCTGAACGATTGAAGAGATCTGCAAGTGCAGAACGATTGAAGAGATCTGCAAGTGCAGAAAGATTAGACTTGGTGACCGATATATGAGGCGACCATGAAGGTTTCCGAACTTCATTTCACCTGCGCTTCATGTAGGAAATCCTTTGTTTTGATATCGCATGGTCGACGAGAATTAGCCTAGATGTTTGTTTTGTTTCTTCCCCTGCACAAAGCTCATCAGATTGAATGAAAAAAAGTCATTGTTTCACAGAATGAGCAGTAAAAATTTCTACCAGACATTTTAGTGTAGAAGCTGCAACACTTGAATCACAAAATTGTGCTTGTGGGTTATACACAAGTGCGAATTCCAAAAAATGCACATTAACTAGGCTGCTGCAACATCAAACGGTTCCATTTTGTTCTCCGTCCATCTCATCTCAAAGAGCAAGACGATCAAGGGTGGCCGGAATACTGATCCAATATAGTTCACAAGCAGCAAAATATACTCACTTAAGCTGGTGTGAAGTAATTCCGCTCCCACAAAGTAACTCTTAACTTATATTCTTGGCTTAACCGTCAAGCCACTATACCACAAAATAGAATATCGTAACTTTACAAATCTGCAACTGCAAGTAAGTCCTCGAGGTTTTTCTCGTTATCAGAGTGTAAATAAATCAGTTCACGTTTTCGCTCATCATTTGATGAAGTGACTTGTGAAGAACACTCTAATTCATCATCATAATTTTCATCATCCTCTTCATCATACTCATCGTCACTATCATTCTCATCAATGGGCACCAAAGACTTACTAGCTCCTTGTTCATTGATACTCTAATCCAAATTTCCTACAAGCTGACTAGCCACCTTCTGTTCCTCTGCTGTTTTTACCAGAGACAAAAGGATATTTTTTGCTTTCTGATCAGGCGGAAGCCTACAGGATTCCATTTCCTGGTACCAAACAACAGCACTGCCGAAATCTCTGTTCTTTCCATTCGCATCCATGATTGTTGTCAAGATTGTTTGATTTGGTTTAATTGTTGTGTTTGGCTTATACATTTGTGAGTAATTATGAGTCATGTGTTAACAATAATGAAGTGACCTGTGTTTGCTTTCGGTGGAAATATCACATGGTGTGGGTTGCATGAAAGTTGCAGACAAAGTAAAAGCAAAAGTTTGGTGGACATCATCATGAGTAAAGATATAATGATGACGCTTGCTTTTACTTTAATGATGATGTTTGTTTTTTGCTTTAATGATGATGCAAGACACAATGATGATGGCTATGATGGCTTGGCCTTATATTGAGAAGGCTTGCCGAGTTAGGGAGAGAGAGAGCATTCGGCTCTCTCCTGAGAAGGCATCAGAGAGCATCCAAAGGGGGAGAGCATTCGGCTCTCCCATGGGAAAGCATGGGCACGGGTGAGAGAAAATCAAGAGAGCTAGAGTGAAAAGTATTCTATTGAAAGAACTCTTGGGGTAGAGTGAGGCTCTTGGGAAAATTCTACGAGTGGGTGTGTAAGGGATTTGGGATTGAGTTATGTTGATTTAACTCATGTGTACTTGTACTGTTATTCTCATAGTGAAGAGCAATATCTCTCCGAGGACGTAGGCAGGTTTTTGCCGAACCTCATAAATTTCTCGGTGTCTTTATTTCTTGTATTTTATTATGTTCAACTGAGTGTGATTTTGGTGAGGTTGTAATCTGAATCTCGTTTCCGCACTAATGAACGGACCAAGGCACAACATTAATACCAGATGCCAGCATTTCCTCATATTTCTCCATCATCTTCTCGATATTATTTGTCTTAGAATACCCTTTGATTAACGTCCCATAAGTGACGGCATTGGGTTTAAATGCATCTTGTATTATTCTTATGAAGAATTTCTCAGCACCCTCCATTTCAGATGCATTCACATATGCTGATAGCATCGTCGTATAAGAGCAAAGATCAGGGTTAAACCAGAAGAAAAAACAAAGAAAAACAGAGGGTTCACTATCCAGATCAGAGAGTAAATTTTTAGGGATAGGGCTATTTCTACCCTCCAACAAAGGCATATCTTTAATTATGTGTAAATGGACCACTGTTTTTGACATACGATACTTGACATTATGCCACCTAATAATTCATGTTCTATCAGACAGTAGAACCATAAATTGCATACAATACCTAGGTATTTCGTTCGACAAACACATGTCAAGGTAATTGGTGAAGGGAGAGAAGTGAGAGGAACGACCCGAAGGATGCCGATAGAATCCAATCCAACATTGACTGATTTGCAGAATTTACAATCTGATATAATACTGAATCATCCAAGTTCCCGGTTTACATATGAACATCAATTAACTATAACTTCCAAGTCCAAGACTTCTAGGTCCTAGAATCTAGGATAAGTGAACCCAACAACTAACAGGTCCAACCTAATATGTCAATGTAATCAGTTATTTTTAAACTCATTCTGCTCGTGATAGAGCTAGACAAGAAAGAGAGACAACGTAAATATTTTACGGAGTTGAAACATTTTCTTATCCAGTTTTGTTTATTAGGCCTATCCCATAAAGTGCACATGGTGCTCAGTATTCATTTACTGCCACTAGTTAGCACAACAATCCTTTTGGAACCAAAACAAAGAATTTCGAATATAAGGTTTAGCAAGTGCAACTCATCTCCGAAACTCTGACTATAGTATATCAACATGAAGGTACTGAGAAGTATACCTGTCCCTTCTCATGCTTTTGAAGACAGTTCGAGCTTGTTCCCCCATTCCTGATATTGCAAATGCGTGAAGCAAAATGTTATAAGCTTTGCGGGTAGGTCTATAAAAGAGAGAGAATGGTGGCGATTGTAGTTTTCATCAATGGTGAGGAATTGACATCAAGAGTTGAAAATTCATTTGTAACTGTCAAATACTTCAGCTCCCTGTATCACAGAAAAAGTAGCATTGAGCCTAAGTACCTGACACCAGCATCAAGCATTTCCTCAAAAACGGCCAAGGCTTCTTCCTCTCTTCTTGCTTTCCCATAAGCATTAATGAGTAAGGCATAACTCACTACGTCAGGTCGGAGACCAGCTCTTTGCATCTGCCATTAGAAGCTTCCTTTAATTTCTGATGAATTTTATAATTTTTATTACTAACAATAAAGCTATTAATTGAGTAGCATGATTAGACGTTAAGGTCATGGAACTTTAGGTTGATAGTTTGTACCAAATTCAAAAAAGAACAGCAATATTTGGAAAAAGAAAAAAAAAAGAAAAACAAGGTAATATGATAAGCATGAGAAAGAGGAAAATACAGGATTTTTACGTCTCCTTGATCAATAATTTTTGCCAATTTTTTTAATTTTCATATGTGATTGGCAACCATGTAAAATCATTGTTAAACCTCGGTGATAACAAAATGCATATTCTCATTTAGGTAGGTAAGCCTTTTTTTTTTTTTCAAAATAGACCAGGAAATTATTGCTGCGAGACCACACATTCTTCTATTTGGATCATATATCAACCAATGATGCTAAAAAGTAGTAAAAAAAACAGACCAAGGAAACTATTTTCTTTCTTCAAAACAGACCAGCAAAATATTGCTGCAACCCTATTTTATAATTGTAAAGCATACTCAAATAGGAAGGTTTAGCATGCTCTACCGAGCTACATGGCTAATTAAGTAATTATTCATGTACTTTACCAAAATTTACCTGGTTATACATCTTGGAGACTTCCTTGTATTATTTTCAAATGATATCAAGCTATTAATAGTGATCGTCGATTGTGGAACACCTCTCTCAGACATCACTGCAAACATCTTACGAGCTTTATCATAACTCCCCCCCTTCTTATACATATAAATCATCATGTGGACCTTCTTTTGGTCTGGCTTTAAGGGTGATTTTTCCTCATTTAAAAGAGTCTCAAATATTTCTTCAGCTTCCTTGAACTTACATCCCTGTAATTCAAGGTACTATATGAGGCAGGTAGAAAGACTCCAATGAAAGCATGCATAATGCTCACAGGGCAGCAACATTGAAAATATTGAAGATGCCGGCATCATCAAAATGTTGTCAGCACTAAACTGAAAATTAAGATTTAATCGAAGTTGTTAGGACAGTGACAAGTTTGGCTAAACAAGGTATTTACCTCAACAAATATCTTTAGTATTATTTGATATGTCACAGCAGACGGTTCAGGCCCAGAAAACAGCATCCTTCTAAATATTGCTTCAGCATTGTTATATCGCCGTCCTTTTCCATATGCTTCCATAAGAGCAGTATGAGATATTACACTTGGTGAATGGCGGCCTTTCTCGTTCATCAACCTTAAAAGCTTCTCGGCCCTTGTGTAGTGCCCTTGCTTTCCATAAGCTGTCATAAGCATCAGGAAATCCATTTTGCTGAAGTCCCACCAGTTCTGTGTCTGGAGCCATTCGAGAATCTAGAAGTCAAAGGAACATACGCAACAAGTGATTTAATCATCAAATAAAATCCAGCACTTAAAGAAATGCGCTCAGAAACCGAATAATTGCACAACAAAAAGAGCATCTTTAAACACCTGGCTGACAAGGATCCATTTTTTCAGTTGCTTAAATCTAACCAAAGTTCCAAGGACAACATCCTTGGGAACAGTCTTGTCCTTGAGCTTTTCACTTTTGAGCACAGAAACTGCAGAACCTGTCTTTTCAATTTCATTCATAAGTCTCCTCCAGTTCTTCTGGTCGGCTTCATCAGCAGCATCTTTGAAAGCTTCTACTTTCTTCCTTTTCTGCAAGAATTTTCTTGGTGCCAGCATGCCCGTACAAATGACACGGGAACCTATAAAATTTGTGCATTCTTTCAATTTACTGAAGACGAAAAGTCACACAGTTATTACTGAATATCACAATGAACACATAAATCATCAAATATCTCTCGGACTAGTAATTTCTACGAAAAACATGATTGTCCCGGGTTGCCGGCAATCTGAATGTACAAAGTCAATATACATCCACTTGCGCAAACAAGCCAAAGGCCAGGAGCGCAAACAAGTAAATTACTTAACACTGCAATTAGGAAGATATAAAATAATGTAAAATTCCTATATCTATGGTATATGCTTGTACTTGTTCGACTTCGAGGGTAATGGCAACCTAATTTCACTCAATGAATTATATGACTCCCTACTTTGATTCCAAAGACATACAGAACAGAACCACCATTCTCACCTTCAACCCCAAGAAATGCAGCAGCTCTAAGACAAATGCAATTATGCAAGATAGGAAAACTATAACAAGAAGACAAAAAAAAACATACTTCATATACATATCTTTCAGTATTTTGAATCAAAATTGAGAATTTAATGAACCACAGTTCCCTGTTTTGGCTGCCCAGATAATTTCATAGCTAAAGCATGCAACTTTCAAAGTAAAAACTAAAAACTACAACCCAGAGACCCAAATTCTCCATGTTATCCCCCAAATTATACAATCAACCAAACAGGACACTAAAGATTCAAACTTTAGAACCTGAAACAAAACACAAATGCTCAAATGTAAGATGGGGTTCTGAGGGTTTTGCAGGGGTTTAACAAACGGGGGTGAAGGAAGAGAAACAAACCTCCAATTATCAAGAGGAGCTGATGAAATGAAGGGCTTCAAGAAAAGGGTTTGAGGCATTTCTTATCTGGGTGCCTCTCAGAAGCGTTTGAACCAAAGCTGAATCTCAATGGAGTTGAAGGGGATTTTCTGAAGAAGATGTGGGAGCAGAAGACACTCATTTTTCTTTGACAAAAAACTTACCTTGAGACTCGCTCAAAAAGGAACCAGAGTGGACTACGTGGACACGTGCAAATAATAAGCTGAAACAAATTTAGGCTTCATAATTTGAGATATTTGATCGGTTTAAGAACATTTTAAACAACTACCTAACGTTTTGAAAATTAGACATATGTTAGGTATTTAGAGTTTAATTAATGATGTGAACAAATATATTGATGGGCATGTTCAGATTTTTATTGACACGTCGTCTATGAAGCTTTCATTCCTTAAATATATTGTTTTTCGCAAAGTTATCCTTTGACTAAAAAAGATAGCTTTGAGGATTTAGAGCTCTATAGATGCCACAATAGTAAAATTCTAACATGCCCTTTAATCTACACTATCACTTAACGTGAGTGATATCATCAAGGCCGAAACTAGTTAAGGATCAGTGGGGGAATGTGCCACCAATAAGTTTTTGGATTGGGAAATAATGTGGCCTAAGTAGGAATTAAAGCCCCACTTAAGTCGTAGCTGTTTTTAATCACTCAACACAACGTCAAACTAGACTATAGTGAATAATAATAAACTTACAATCACCTCCAAGTCTATCACTCATTCCTCATTAACAACCACCAGGAGGCGGATATAACAGGGAAAAAAATGGTTTAGTTGCAAAGTTGGTTCTTGTAGCTCATGAAGAAGAACAAGAAGAAGAAAATCAAAGGTCTATATGTTTTAGGGAACGTCGTTTTGATAAGAAAAGTTCTAAGTTAGCCATTTTAAAACGTCAATGAACGCTATCTCTTGCTATACATCTTTTTAATTTGAGCTCCTAACCCTATACATATAGGGTTTATATTTGTTCACTATAACAATATTAACCTAAAGATGCTATTAAAATGACACAAAGAGTAAGGATGTTAAGCACACAAAACGTATGAGTTAACCAAGTGCTCGACGAAATACCTCACATAAAAAGTTAAAAAGAAAATGGGAACTCTTGGATTGCACAAAGACATGCATTCGCCACTTCTTAGTCGCGCCTTGATGAACTTTCTAGCTTTGCCCTTGGATGTCATCACTTCAGGTTGGCAACGTAACATTAATTTAGGTGTAATTTTAAAAATATCAGATATGTATTTGGAATATTTCTTAAAATTAAGTCTAATAAGAAATTAAGTTATTAGTACATTATCTTTAAATTTATATTTAGATCAGAATATTACTCGCATTATTTTAAAAATATATATATATTAATTAAGAATTAAATAAAATAAAAGGAAAACTAATGAAAATGACTTGAAAACTTTCAGTTTTAACGATAATGAAAAAATAAAAGGTAAAGTGAATAGTACCAGGATTAATTTTTTAGTGTAAAAATATGATTTTTCGTTAAAATAAATAGTACCGGGAGTTTTTTGTTAAAATTTATTTAAAGGGAAAACTCTAGGGAACCGTTCACCTTTTTTTTTGTTTATTGGAAACTGAACCGTTCACCTTTGATACCAATTTTAAACAAAAGATTTACCCCCAAGAACGAAATAAAATAATAAGGACTGAAGAAGGTGGAGAAGAACGTTTTTTTATGTCTCGCAGCAGCTCCAAATAACCCCATTAAATTCTCTCTCAGATCACACACGCGCACACACATACATCGCTCTCTCAACCTCACAAACGCCCTGAATTTTCTCACTTGCCAAACACCCCGCTTTCGTTGATTCTCCCCCCACCGGTCGTGTTCCGTCTTGGGAATTCAATATCCAGCTCCGTCGTTTTCAGCGAACCGTGATCTGAATCTGGTACGACAGGCAAGGTGAGCAATTAGTACGAACTGGGGATTTTTAAAGGTGTTTGGTAGTGTCATGAAATTGTGAAAGGTTGTGTTTCGCAAATGGGGTTCTTTTGGAATTTCGAAATGGCGGTGCCAACTCAATGGATACTGATTGAAAATGTTGCTTTTTGGGTCCTGGATTATGAAAGCTTGTAAATTTTTATTTTTGATAACTTTTCATTTCATATTATTGTGTGTTTTTTGCAACCGAATAATAGTTTGACCTAAAATTCTCTTTTTCCAGCTTAATTGGATTGCATTGGATCTATAGATTGGTAATTTTCCCTTGGCATTGTTCTTTAGGTAAAACTCTAGTTTATCTAGATATCAGTAATGTAGTACTTACCATCTGTTTGGCTGCTGTGAAAATTTGGGAAATGGAATAGCTTCGAGTTATATGCATTTGGGCTTATCTGAGATGAAATATGTTATAGGTTAGATAGGGAAAACCTGAGATTCAATTTTTTTTTTTCGGCTTCCAATACCCTCCCCGCAAAGTTTTGGTATGATTCTCTGTTTAACTAGAACAATTTTCCCCACATTTCCCGTTATTTTTCATGTTATTGTTTTTCGGGATGGAATGCTAGCTTGGTCTAATGATGTGAAGGTTATGCATTGTAAGGTTTTGTTTCAATTAAGTGAAAGTTTACAGCGCGTGACTTTTTTGTTATACAAGTCAACGTAGATGTATACATGTAAGTAGTGCACATGCACCGAATGTGTCAGGGTAGCTGGATTTGTTACACAAAATTTTATGTTTTATACTTTAACTAACTTTACCGTTTGACTTGTAAGAACTGCAGCGTTATATGTTTGTCAGCTAAGTGTTGAATGGATCAGAGACCAGGACAAAAGTGATATTTGTGAAAGAGGGTGAGGCAGCAGATAGTCAGGAGCCGATCAATGGAGTCTGGCGAGTATGAGGAAGGCATGGTAGTTGAATTCTCTGCAAATGGGAATTCCATGAAAGCAACAGAGGTTCAGGCCAAGCTTGATGAAGGAAACATTCAGGAGGCAGAATCTTCGTTACGAGAAGGGCTATCACTCAATTTTGAGGTTAGTTTATGCCATCATCTATAGGTTTCAAAATCTTTTCCATAATTTAATCTCTTTCTGTGCAACTATTAGCACCAATCAGAGAAGTGCTTTCATGATTGATTATGACCTACCCAAGATGGAAAAACACTCATTTCTGATAATCTACAGGAAGCAAGAGCCCTTCTTGGAAAGCTGGAGTATCAAAGAGGTAACCTAGAAGGTGCACTTCGTGTGTTTGATGGCATTGATCTTCAAGCTGCCATAGGGCGATTGCAACCTAATCTTGCTGAGAAAACACCTTCTAAGAAGGGCCGAACTCGTTCTGACTCACAGCATACAGTCTCACAGCATGCTGCTACTCTCATTCTTGATGCCATATACTTAAAAGCCAAGTCTCTACAAAAGCTTGGGAGATTAAAAGGTTTGGTACTGTTCCAGTAACTTTATGCGACGGCTTTCATTCTCTTTTACTTTTTAAGTTTGAATTAAAGTAAATTGGAACCTCCTTGTTTATGTGTTTGCAGAAGCTGCTAATGAATGCAACAATGTGCTTGATGCTGTGGAAAAAATATTCCATCAGGGCATACCTGATGCACAAGTAGATGGTAGATTACAAGAGACAGTCAGCCAAGCTGTGGAGCTTCTTCCTGAGCTTTGGAAGCAATCTGGCCACCCTCAAGAAGCAATATCTGCTTATAGACGTGCCCTACTTAGTCAATGGAACCTTGACAATGACTGCTGTGCAAGAATTCAGAAAGGATTTGCTGTGTTTTTGCTGTACAGTGGAGTAGAGGCTGGTCCACCCAGTTTAGGTGCTCAGGTTGAAGGCTCATATGTCCCTAAAAATAACCTGGAGGAGGCTATTCTGCTTTTGATGATCCTTTTGAGAAAATTATCCCTAGGTAAAACCAAATGGGATCCATCATTGATGGAACATCTAACATTTGCTTTATCTTTATGCAACCAAACTTTTGTTTTAGCAAAGCAACTTGAAGAAATCATGCCTGGAGTATATCACCGTGTTGATCGTTGGAATTCTTTAGCCCTTTGTTATAGTGGAGCAGGCCAGAACGAAGAGGCGTTGAACCTATTAAGGAAGTCTTTGCACAAACATGAACGACCAGATGAACTCATGGCATTGTTATTAGCCGCCAAAATCTGCAGTGAGGATTCCCACGTTGCAGCTGAGGGAGTGGGATATGCACAAAGGGCTATTAGCAATGCTCAGGGGTTGGATGAACATTTAAGGGGTGTAGGACTTCGCTTGTTGGGTCTTTCTTTGGGGAAGCAAGCTAAAGTTTCTTCTTCTGACTTTGAGAGGTCTCGTCTTCAGTCTGAAGCACTGAAATCACTAAATGAGGCGATTATTTTGGAGCCAAACAATTCAGATTTGGCCTTCGAGTTGGGAGTTCACTACGCAGAGCACCGGAATCTGAATACGGCTTTGCGCTATGCAAAACAGTTCATTGATCAAACAGGGGGCTCCCTGATAAAAGGTTGGAGGTTGCTTGCTCTTGTTTTGTCTGCTCAACAGCGATTTTCAGAAGCTCATGTGGTCACTGATGCTACTTTGGATGAGACCGCAAAATGGGAACAAGGGCCACTTCTCAGGCTTAAGGCAAAGCTAAAAATTTCCCAATCATTACCCATGGATGCAATTGAAACTTATCGTAACCTTCTTGCTTTGGTTCAAGCCCAAAGGAAATCTTTTGGACCTCTCAGAATGAGTCCTCAGGTGAAACCTCTGACTTCTGCTTATGTTCTTAACTTTGTCTCAAAATAGAGTCTATCAGATTGCTACTAAATAGAGGAGTCCTCCCGAAGCTATTATTTGTAGTGGTGGGAAAGTTAAGTTGTATCATACCGTGATTCTGCAATATTGTGGGGAGAAGTTTAGAGATTTGATCTGATTGATTCACGTAGTTAATTTTTTCAAATCAGAAATTTAATCTGATTGATTCACATAGTTCATTTCTGATGCAAAATTTTGTCTGTTCTAAATTTACATTTTAAAGATTTTATTCTCAACAAGTTCCTTCTATGTTTTTGCTTGCCTTTTTTGATAGGCTGAGGATGATAAAGTCAATGAATTTGAAGTTTGGCATGGATTGTCAGACTTGTACTCTAGCCTTTCGTATTGGAAGGATGCAGAAATATGTT